AGTGAATAGTTTGAGCTCTCTATTAATTTCCACAAAAATAGCAAGCAGTACATTTCTTAAAAAAAGAAACTTTAATTTTCAAGTTATGTTTAAACCATATTAGCACAACAAGCATCCTTTAAGGGGGAAAAAAGTTATTCTTTCTTCAAACATCTGCTTTTAAAATCTACTTATTATTCAGATATGTAGCCATTTTTATTGCTTTTCATATACAACAGTATGGCTTAGCAGAAGAAGAAAGATTTAAATGGTGATTGAAAAGTTAAACTTGGAAGTGAGAGGAAAATATGGATTATTCCTACCTTTTCATTATAAGACATAATTAATCTCGTTTGCAAGCAACATATTTCTTCCATGAGGTCTTGGTATTCACTGAAGACCAGCGAAAGCAGCTTTATCCTCACATTTTACATGATACAGATGTGCAAGTGAATGTTTTGCCAAGACATTGAAACAGAACATAGGTGCCACATTATTATAGACTTTGTGTAAAACATCATAAACAGTTCCCAAACGCATAAGCCATTCTCTGCTTGCATAGCTCAAATTACTTTTGCCATCTTTCCCTTGACATATGATGAAGAACGTGAAAAGCTGCTGTGTTTTCTTCTTGTCTTCTAAAGCATGTGTGTCCTGCTGCACAGCCCTTCCTGAAACTGTTTTTCAATGGCACTGGTTACAGTTGCTGTCTTATTCCTTCTCACAGCCTGGTCGTTTGCCTCAAACAGAAAGATATTAAAAAAAAAATACAGCCAGTAGACTATTAGCATATTACGACAATGGTCTTAAATTTGGTTTAGGGAGTGTACAGTCTTTTGTGGCTGATGGTTTGTAGGTACTAAGGGAGCGATCAGAGTAAAAATTCTTGTGGGCTTCCTGACTTAACATCTGCTACATAGTTCAGGCTTTGGGAAAGCAGACTCACAGATCCAGAAGTCTTTTAGTGCGTTAATGTACATTAATGTATAGGATGATTTTGGCAGTGTTACAGTACTTAAATAACTTGGATCTTGCTTCTGCTAAAAAGAAAAATATATGCAAGGATTATACATGCTGGCATGTGAGCATTGCTTAAATCATTGTAGAAGCTATTAGATGGGAAAAGAAATTTGTGCATGGCTATGAAACAATAATGGCAGGCAAACAGCTGGAATTTATGTAGATTCCTGTATGTTAAGGTATGAATGTGCATCATTTTATGAGTCTCTGAAACCAAGTATATACACAGATGTCACAAGAAAATATTTAACCTACTCATCAGCTTGGAAGGGTTCCTAGGTAACTTAGGGAGTTGGCTTAAACTAACTTTATGGCTTATAGAACAATTAATATTTCCCACATGCACTAATTTTAAATCAAAATACTGGATTATACTAAAAGAAAACACAAAACTGAATGGAGCTGTGGTGGTAAATACGTATCATTAACTTCAAGAAAACATGTCAAAGAGAACATTACGTTTAAAGGGATTTAAAATTCATAATACATTCCAGATTTAGGTCACTTGAAAGTACAGAGCTCAGACCCATCAGACAACTTCATCTGGCCTCTGATATCTTCATCCAATACCTACCTAAATTAACATATCCATATTTGACCTCTAGCTAATAGATCTTGTAGTTGAGGCTGACATTGCATGCTTTGATCTGAAAAGCTGTAACTCACCTGGCTTAACAGCCACAGTTAAGATCTACAGATATGCAGTTTTCCTGTTCCTATTATGGAACTATTTGCAAAGTGATCACTCTCAAAAAACTGAAACTTTTGGCTGGAGAGCAGCCTGGACAAAAAGGACCTGGGGGTGTTGATTGACATTCATCTGAATATGAGTCAGCAGTGTGCCCAGGTGGCCAAGAAGGCTAACAGCATCCTGGCCTGCATCAGGAATACTGTGGCCAGCAAGTCCAGGGAAGTGATTGTTCCCATCTACTCAGCACTGGTGAGGCCACACCTTGAATACTGTGTTCAGTTTTGGGCCCCTTACTACAAAAAGTACATTGAGATGCTGGAGCATGTCCAGAGAATGGCAACGAAGCTGGTAAAGAGTTTAGAGCACAAGTCTAATGAGGAGTTGATGAGGGAGCTGGGGTTGTTTAGTCTGGAAAAAAGGAGACTGAAGGGAGACCTCATCACTCTCTACAACTGCCTGAAAGTTGCAGGTTGCAGTGAGGTGGGGGTCGGTCTCTTCTCCCTGATACCTAGTGGTAGGACAAGGGGTGATGGCCTCAAGTTTCACCAGGGAAGGTTTAGGTTGGCTATTACGAAAAATCTCTTTACTTTAAGGAAACAGGCTGCCAGCTAGCACGTCTATCTAGATAATTACTGAAGTATTTAGATAAAATGCTGCCTGTAGTGAATAAATCTGTAAATAGTATAGCCAAATCTTCCCCTACTGTGATGCCTCTTTCCTAGATTTTTTCCTAAGGATCAGGAAAGGAACATCTTAAGTGCAAGGCACTTAAGTGCAAGGCACTATTTATTACAGCAGTAATTCTGGGGGAGGTCAGATTGCTAACAAATACTAAGCAAATTTTTATGTGCTCAGATCAATTTTGTACATACTTCTATCTATCACAGGAAAAAAACAACAACTTGAAAATAATTCTAAAAAGAATTATTTTGGTATTTTTGCCGTGAAATACTGTTATTATGTTTAGCAGTGATAATAATCAAAACTTTCTTTTTTCCATAAAGTTGCCTTGAATTTAATTTAATTTAATTTCAAAAATATAAATAATACTTGATATTGGAATGAAACTTTCTGCTTTGAGTTAAACAAAGAGTTCAAGTTAAAAGGGGCATTTTTGACCCAGAGGAAATATTTGTATTGTTTGCATATTTCAAAAGGGCTTTCTTTCTAATTTGAACATGAGCCAAACTACTGACTGTCCAAACACAGCTATATAAATAAAAAAAAAGTGATTGAAGTTATGCTTCAGCATAGTTCTGAGAGCAGTAGTTTATTAAGACAGGAGAAGTAAGCATGATATATTTGAGAAGTGTTTGGAGTGTAATTTGTCCGTCCTTCATGTTTCACTGCTTTCTCCATATGGCCTCAAAGTAGAAACTCCACCTTGTCACTGTTCTGCTCAGTGGTTCCCCTAACAGTGGTTCCCCTCAAATGGAAATAAAGAAGTGTTCGGTATCTCATAGTATAAGTTATCACTGAGATGTTTTAGTGCTTCATATGTGATTTAAAGCCTTTTAATAAATCACTGGGCTATTGTATATTCGGTGGGCCATTCCATGCTATGGATTTTCAAGTCTGTTGGTTTCAATATATGATTATGCTTAAGCTGCAGTTCAGTGAGCAGCAGAACCTGATCTCCTATGCTTATGTGCCTGTACGATGAGCCCTAATGCCTTCAGCCTGAGCATCCTTTACCTTCTCAGTAAAATAGCCACCTCTTGATTGTCCTTTATGTCCCCACCTACCTTTAATGGTACAGCTGCTTCGGCAAGAAGATAGATTGCTTTTACTGGTGGAAAGTTGAGTGTATTGGCCAATGTTTGTGCTGCCTGGACAAGGATCACCTTTTTAAACAGATGCTTCCCCAGACTCCATCCAACCCGAGCTATTTAATGGATGCACAAACTGCAAGATCTAAACATCACCGAAATCTTTGCTTTTCAGTCAAGTTAATTTGAAACTGACTTCTGGATTTGCAAGCTGTTAGAAAAGACAGGCAAGCACAGGGCAACACTATGGTAGGAGCTTACTTCCATAAGGAAGTAAGCTAAAAAGTGATCATTTGGCATATACATAAGAATTTTGTTGTTGATATGCAAGTAGTAATTAACATTAACAGTACATCCAGAATAATGTGTCAATACATTTCAGTTGATTCAAATAGAGGAATCTAAAGCAACGTTGTACCTATGAAAATACCCGTTTATATTTGATTGGATTTGGCTTTTTCACATCATGGAGTTTCTGGCATTTATTCCATCAATTATTTATAAAGAGAGAGAGACTTAAAACTCTTACCAGTACAATGAATGATTTGCAGTGAAATCAGATGCAGTGCTTGGCATTCCACTTTATGCCAGGTGCCTGCTTTCTCTTAAGCTTGAAATTCATTGCTTTTTATTATGGGTGTTTTTATTTTTGAGTTGGAATAGTTTAGTTATTGCAAAAGCAAGACTATTCAAAATGGTTTGGGCCAAATATAGTGCAGTCAGATGGTATGCAGGTTTACCTAAAGAGCTTTGACAACCTCTTAATCTTGATATGTAGCACACCATCTATTCTAGTCGTGGTCGTTTAAAAAACATATAATGCATGTCATGCTAAATTGCACACTAGCTGTTTGTTTAAGTATGGACGTAATTACACCATAAACTGAATTGCAGTTGAAAACGAAAAACGGACTTGTAGCAATATTTTCAAAGTTTATAGGTCTTTATGCTAAACCACATCTTAGATTTTCCCAGACTATCTATATTCATCTTACTGCCCATTAACAGTCATTTCTGTATGATGTAAGCGAAAATGAGCCTCACGGACCAGAGATTTACATTCTGATTTGACAATATTTTTAAGTCTATGTGTAGTTTTAAGTAGAGGTCCAAGACATGCTACAGTATTAAGGTCAATTATTAGTTTTCTTGCCTGAAGATTCTTCCTGCTCTGTGAACTTTAGTTTTGGTATCGTTCTCGTACTTCAAATTCTTCAGTCCTTGCACTTTCAAAACTTACTGACTGATCTCAGTATTGATTGCTTGTGAAATGTAACAATCCCTCTTGGTTGTCTGATGTCTTAAATCTTTTGATCCATCTCCACAACTAATCAATGTTTATATTGTCATGGAGGCAATATATCCACATCCAGGCTCTTGTGTCTGCAAACTCACAGAGTGTGTTTGTAAGACAAATTGATGTAGAAACAGCTGAACTTTTTCTGGGATGGAAGAGGAAAGCATTCCAACATACCCTGATACAAAGACATGTATGATGGAGTTACCTGTTATGTGTTGATGCATTTTATTTCTACCAACAGGTCCCATAAGCAGCATTTTGGTGAATAAGTATGGTAGCCGGCCTGTAATGATAGCAGGAGGTATCCTGTGTTCATTTGGAATGATTGCTTCTTCTTTCTGCAATAGCGTCCTGGAACTTTATCTGTGTATTGGTGTTGTTGGAGGTAAGAGTCCTGTTTAAAAGGTTTATATTATATATCATATCATCATGTCATGTCATGTCATGTTATATTTATTATATTATTTCTAATACTGTTCTACCAATAAGCCTGACTGATGAAGAACCCACTGTGCAAGACATTGTACAAATGCAAACCAAGAAGGTAGCAAGATCAATTGATTTCAGCTACTTGAACTATCTAATCCTTTAAATTAGCTGGTATGATGTTAAATTATTTTTTAAGATATTTCAGGAACAACTGGTGATTATATTCAATAAATGCTGTATGTATGTACTGTTCTACACTGCATTGTAATTATGGTATAAAATTTGATTGGCTTGTGACAGCCCTTATTACAGTCATTTGTGCAGAATTTTACATTCATTCTTTTAGCTTTCAATCATGTTGCACTCCAAACAGGGTGGCATAGGCTAGCAGAACTCTAGTAAAAATGCAAAAGCTTGTACCAGCTTTCTGTAGATTGGTACATACATATAGTCTCATAGAAAAGTATAGCAACTTTCAGTTCAATAATCTTCTGTTTAAAATCCCCCAGGGTCAATCTTTGAATAACATTATTCATATATCATCATAGGCCTGGATATTGCCTAAGGCAGTGAACTAAAGTATATCATAAAGCCAGTAAATTAAATAACTTCCTTATCAAATGCTGTGGTATTTTGGGTTTTTTTTACTGCCTCCTCAGAATAAGGAAGGCTAGTGAAGTGAAATATTGGCATGTAATAAATGAATGAGATAATAGTTGTTTCTATATTCAGGCTTATCTTTCTTTATGTTGGGACTAAAGGAGTACTCCTTTGTTCAGTAAATATTTCTTAGAGCTCTTATTTTTCACATCCTAAACTTGGTATCCCCTGAAAGAATAAAGTCAAGGTCCAGGAATGGGCCTTTTAGACAAGAAAACTTGTCTCCTGTACCATCCAACGGATGCACTTAGACTTTATTGTCTAGATGTCTTATAACAGAGAGAAGACATGGAGGTTCAGCTTATGCACTCAGCTGATGTGAATGCGTGTTCTGCTGCCATATGTGTCCTCTACAACTCTTTTACCTTTAGTAGGGACTTCCATATCTGGGTAGGTGGAGATATATGTGCTCCAAAATAATTAGCCTTTTAAGGTCCACTTTGTACAGAAGTTTGATCTTAAATACAGCTGGAAATAAGAAATGAGGAGATTTATGCATTTACACCCTGCATTCATTGTAGCTGAGGTGACATTTTAATAACTTATGTGAAATGAGCCAAGAGAGAATTGTATCATAGCTTAGTTAATATAAAAATGGTGAGTCAAGGTGCTGATACCATCATTCCTCTGTGATTCCTCTGTCTCTATCATTGCTATGAAACAACAATGAATTTTGTCTTTTACTGCTATGAGGGAAATGGCAGAATGCCACCATGTCATAGTCTTGGCATTAACAGACATGGACAGCAATGAAGCTGTATTTCATCCTCTGATGCTAGTTTGTTTCTATTTTCATTGGGAATCACTGGATTATATACTGTTCATTTTAAAAATAACTCGAAAGAGAGTGATACACTTTTAAGTTCATGAACTGCAATAATACTGTCTTTTATGTGTTGTTTAGGTCTGGGTTTAGCATTCAACTTACAGCCTGCTTTGACCATGATTGGCAAGTATTTCTATAAGAAGCGTCCCATTGCTAATGGATTGGCCATGGCTGGAAGTCCAGTGTTTCTGAGCACATTGGCACCTCTCAATCAATTCCTCTTTAATGCCTTTGGCTGGAAAGGAAGCTTTCTCATTCTAGGAGGACTTCTTTTGAACTGTTGTGTGGCTGGGTCACTTATGAGACCTGTTGGACCGAAAACAGTCTCTCCTGTGAAAAAAGATGTTGAAAAAGGCACAGGAGATTCTGCCTTGCACAAAAACAACAAGAAATCTTTTTGTCAAACTATGAATAAATACCTGGATCTGTCCCTCTTCAAACACAGAGGTTTTCTGATCTATTTGTCAGGAAATGTCATTATGTTCATCGGATTCTTTGCTCCAATAGTATTCTTGGCTCCTTATGCCAAGCACAAGGGAATTGATGAATATTCTGCTGCTTTTTTGCTATCTATCTTAGCCTTTGTAGACATGTTTGCTAGGCCTTCAATGGGACTTGTCGCAAACTCCAAGTTTATCCGGCCAAAGATTCAGTACTTTTTCAGTTTTGCTGTCTTTTACAATGGTGTCTGTCATATTTTGTGTCCTCTGGCAACAAATTACACTGGTTTGGTGATATATGCTGTATTTTTTGGGTTTGCATTTGGAATGGTTAGCAGTGTTCTTTTTGAGACATTGATGGACCTCGTTGGGGCTGCCAGATTTTCCAGTGCAGTTGGACTTGTCACCATTGTGGAGTGTTGTCCTGTGCTCATAGGCCCTCCTCTAGGAGGTAAGACTCTTTTGTTCCGTTTTTTCAGACATTACAGCATAATCTTGCAATTTAGCTTTGAATTAATATAAACATTGTTTGTGATGCTATTTAATGTTTTCTCTGTGACTAGGAATGTAGTGTAGCAGCAGTGCAGTGCATCAATTATCTTTGCACTTTACAGCTGCAGATTCACATAAGAATCTAAAGACGTACATTGCATGCATGTGCAATAGATAAAGAACATGTCTTTACTGGCCCATAAAACCATATGATAAATGTTTGTTTTCCTGATAGCATGTAGTGCTATCTTTGCAGCCTTGATTTATGTGTATTTAGTTTAGTTTATGTGTACTTCTAGGCTTAAAGGGAGCCTAGGTGTATAGCTAGGACTACATTTATAACTTTTGGGCTTTTAACACCAGAAATAGTAAACAGTCTTGAAAGAAGTATTTTCTGTTTGCTAGCTTTTTAGCAAATAGAGTGTTTAATATTAATTAGTTTATTAATTTATTAATTAGTTTATTAGTTAGTATTTAATAATGCTGTCAGTAAGTTTTATAATGTTAAGGTTTCTGATAATACAGGAGACGAAAGAAATAGATGCTCAAAATTATTGAAAGGCATTAGTTAAATGTATGTGTGTGCGCGCGCATGTGTGTTGCAGTGTAAGACCAACAATAAGAAAATACAAAGATACTGAGCTTACCAGCCTCATGAACATAAATTATACCCACATAAACAGTGACACAGAAGTCAGAAAGATTATGTGTGCCTAAAACCATTTTTATATAAAAGTATTTTCAGGTTTGCTATCAGTATTTCTATGGAAATAGCATTGTTGAGTGAGATTTACATATGCCAATATAATTCCACTCACTTCAGTACAATAATATTTGTACAAGTAAATGTTTATTAGTCCTCAAGATATTCCATATTTCACTCATCTTGTAACGTGCAAATTCATTTTGTTAATGGTAGAACAAAATACATTCTTCTCACACAGACTCTTCCCATGCCACCTAGTGGGGGAACTGAGCCTGTGAATGCTGGAGTCCTGCCTTTTCAGTCCAGTTCTGAAATCAATATTATTATCTATAAAGATATTAAATCTAATATATATGGAGCAATAGCATATGCAACTATTTGTTTTCCATTATATTAGCTTTGAAGAAGCTTTGAAAAGGAGGTGTTTGTGCTATAACTGTATGAATGATTGATCTATCTTATTAAAGAGAGACAACACATGGAAAAACTAAATTTCAGTTTTAACTAGTCCATAATCCTTGAAGTAATGAAATAATTTTATTGTGGAATTTCATTTTTAATAGTCAATTTTATGAGACTGCTCATAGATAAACAATAAATTGTACTATTTATATTGATAGGTGAATTATGCAGTTACAGTGCTATTTGAGTTTTTCCTAATACTAGGCTTGTGAAATAAAGAAAATACTAAAATAATTTGGTGGCTTGTAAACGTGTATCAGGTGAATAGGCTGGTATTATGGCTTCATCCCAGTAAAAGCATCTAAATACACACTAAATTGAAGTACGCAGGTTATCCTGTGAATTTCAATGATAGTGTAGTGGAGTTAAGAGCTAAATGGCTGGATACATACAAATGTTGATTTGGAAGTTGGGAAAATTCAGAAAGAGTGGCTTATAAAGTGGAAGAACAGTTATATGTTATTTTATTGTCATGACAAATATAATTAATTCAGAGGTGTGGATGTAATTTTTAGATGCAGGCTTCAAAGTTCAATACTCAGCAGTTGAGCCTGATAGCTGAAGGGACAAGCCCAGTCACAGGAAAGTAAAAATGAAAAGCAAGCAGTTGATGCACAGTGACAGCAGCCAAAAAAGGCACATACCTCTTCATCCTATTGTCTGTATACAACCTCCATGTGTGTCAGACAGTCACTCCAAAACAATGGGAAACAAAATTAGGAGAAGAATAAAATAATAAGACAATGAAAGAATGAAAATGTAAGAACTAAAAAAAAACCCTGTCATTATTCGTTAAGCTTTAGTTACTTTGTTCTTCAATACTTTATCATTGTCACTGATTCCAGTGACAATTGCTGGCTTGACTAATACAGGTTCCATCAGAGTTCTGCTGTATATGGTAGACCATTTGAACATGTTGAAAATGCCTTTCTGCTTCATCTTCAAAAGCAGGCAATATATAGGTATTTCTCCTAGGGAA